TTTCTCGTGCCCTCAGCAGCAGTGAAAACTGCTAATCAGGTATTTTTGTAGCATTGTACCCGTGGAAGTCAAAACAATTGTTTGATGTTTCCCCAGTGATTAGAATGAGGTCACGGCTTAGTGGAGGAAGACCACTATGATGGTTTAGATCTTAGCTAGCACTAGTTTATGGTACTTCATCAGAATGTAGGTGGCGGGACAGTTAGGGGGTGGGACCTAATACAAGGAAGTTAGGTCATTGGGGGTGTGTCCCTACAGGGAATATTGGGGCCGCAAGTCACTCCTCTAGCACACACACACTCCTCTATCTTTGCTTCCAGACTCCCATGACTGAAATAGCCTTCTCAACTATGCACTCCATCTGTGATATATTGTGCCACCACAGACCCAAAGTGATGGAGCTGAGAAACTAATCATGAACCAAAATTTCTCAAGCCACCTGCCAAGACAAACCTTTCTTCCTTCTAAGTCGATTAATCTCAGCGACCTATCACAGAGACATTAAGCTGATAAACACAACCCTAGAGGTGAAGAATGAAAGATAGCTGCCAGTAACTTCCCCTCCTGGACAATGTTAGCTTGGATAGGTAGGTAGCATTTGCCAGGTTTCTCCACCATAAACTTCTTTTCTAACCTCTCATCAAGTGTAAGCACACTGTATGTGTAGAATTAGCTTCTTCATTAAATGGAAGAATGCCCACATAAATGACCAAAAAAAAAAAATTGGGGGCAGGGGGGGGGGGTAGGTTGGATGAGGGGCTGGTCCAGGGGCTTGAACCTGGGCACTGTCCTTGAGTCTCTTTGTGCTCAAGACTAGTACTCTACCACTTGGGGCCACAGCACCACTTCAGGTTTTTTCTGAGTAGTTTATTGGAGATCAGAGTCTCACAAACCTTCCTGGATCAGACTGGCTTTGATCTGCAATCCTCGGATCTCAGCCTCCTGAGTAGCTAGGATAATAGGTGTGAGACACCAGTGCCCAGCAGGACTAGGAATTCTTACCACCTCTCATATATTCATGAAATTATGACAGTAGAGGCTCATAGATACTTGTTCTATACTTTGGGCAATAATAACAATTATTGGTTTATTTGCTCTTATTGTCCTAGTTTGACTGATGAGAGCAATTTCAGAATGGTTTCCATGTCACTCTGACACACCCTTATCACGTTGCATTTTGAACATTTTTTTTTCTTTCTGTTTCTCCAATTTTTTTTCTTTAAAGATGAGCTGCCGAGTGTGAATTATGTCTTCCTAAAGTCTCCATGTCAAAGTACTAGTCCCCACTACCTCAGAATAAAGAACTAGGAGCTAAAATGAACCCATACTATAATAAGGTGGACTCCTAATCCAGTAGGACCAGTGTTCATCTAAGAAGGAAAAGTTGAGACTTAGATGGCCTACAGTGTGAAGATGGAAGCAAACAGACGTGTGTTGCAATGTGTCCAAGGAGTGTCCAAGACTGCCAGCCAGCCACCGGAAGGCAGAGGAGAGGCCTAAAATAGATTGTTCCCACAACTTCAGAAGGAACTAGCCCAGTCTGCTGACACCTTGATCTCCAACCCAGCTTCCAGAACCTCAAGAAAATATATTTCTGTTGTTCAAGTCCCCTAGTTGAAGTACTTTGTTATGTCCACCCAAAGAAACTAACCCAAGATTTCTCCATTTCAACTACAAATCTTTCATGGCCAGCACTGGTGGGTCACATCTGTAATCCTAGCGACTCAAGAAGCTGAGATCTGAGGAACATGGTTCAAAGCCAACCCAAGCAGAAAAAGTCTATGAGACTCTTATCTCCAATTCATCAGAAAACTGGGTGTGGCGCTGTGGCTCAAGTGGTAGAGTGCTAGTTTTGAGCAAAAAAGCTCGGGGGCAGGGCTCAGGCCCTGAGTTCAAACCCTGGGACTAGTGTGTGTGCGCACCACACGCACACACACCTCAAAAATAAAACCTGGGACTAGTGTGCGTGCGCACCACACACACACACACACACACACACACACACCTCAAAAATAAAAGAAAAACCACAAAGCACATATATTTGGTAGAACAGCAACTTCAAAGAATAGGTGTAGAAAAGACAGGCACAGTGGCCCAAACCTGTAATCCAAGCTATTCACAGCAGACTGAGATGTGAGGATCACTGTTCAAAGTCAGTCTGGGCAGGAAAGTCTATGAGACTCATCTCTAATCAACCAGTAAAAGGATAGAAGTTGAACTGTTGCTCAAGCAGCAGAGTGCCAGCCTTGAGTGAAAAAGCTGAGGGGCAGCACCCAGGCCTTGAGTTTAAAGGCCCTGTGGTAGCATACATATACATTACAAAAAAGAAAACAGTAGGCATAAAGGAACTTGCTCACAAACCTCTGAGCATGCATATTGGAAAACAAGAGGCACAATTATTCTCATCATAATATTTAACATCAAATCTGGATGGGAATCCTGTTTGGGGCTACGCGCCTTGTCTTCCCGGCAGAGTTGCCAAGTAGCTCAGGCAGTGCTACCTGCCAAGCACACCTGCAAGTACTAGCAATAACTACACATCCATGAACATGTGATGGACCAGCCCCATCACAAACACACATTTCTCAGGTGTGCTTCAGTGACTGTAAAGGAGCTGACAGGATTCTCTCTATCACAGTGGACCCAGCAAGACCCCAGCAAGATGATGGCAGTTCAGCATTTGGGGGGGGGGGGGAGGGATCCTTGTTTAATGACTCATCTTGTTCCAGTTCCATCTTCCTACATAGAACCCCAACTAACAGGTGGCCCAGTGTCTTAAGATTTGAGCTGAGACTAATGCCTGCAAACCACAGAAGTATCATACAATCATCCAGGGTTTTGTAGCTTTAGTATGATCAAGTTTACATACTAGAAGATCCCAAAGGAAACTCTAGGCTATGAAAGCCCTCTGGAAAAGAAAAGCCAGGTGCTTTCTGGGAGGCAACAGTGACCTTGACAGAGGTGAACTGTAAGCTCACCAGAGGGTATGATGGACACTTTCCACCCCCTCAGTCAGTTTGGAGAAAAGGAACAGAACAGGAACTGAAATTGTCATCTGGAAATTTGCTCTAGATCATCTGCATTTTTATGTCTATATTTAAAAAAAACAAAAACAAAAAATGAAATTATTAGGCTAAAGGCCAGCTCAGAAAACCTCTGACTGAGTAGACACTCAGGAAGCCCAAGAGCTCTACCATAATCCTTCAAATTATTAAATAATTACTGTTTTTCCCTTGGGGTCATATTTGGTAGCAAAACACTGACCTCAGTGAATAACATTTACATTCTTAACTTGTTGGAAGCAAAGAGACAAGAAAGAACTTATGGGGTACAAACTGGAGGGTGCAGACATCAGAATGACAAAGAAACATGAGACTCTAGGAAATATCTTAATAGGGTCATGTCCCCCTCCAACCCTGAACATTTAGCAATTCTCAACTCCAATCTAATTCTCTTCCACTTGGGGAGTGACTACAGCCACAAGGAGAAAACCCAAACATATGGCTCTGTCCTTCTGGACGTTTCTACAGTGTCGGCTGAGCTGCTTTGGAAAATCTCATTTTATCTTCTACAGCTCTATGACCTCAAGTTGTCATTTCAAATAAAGTATGCTTCCACTGATTTTTATGAACACAGACAAAAGCCACTACAACCTTGTCTCTCCCCCCGCGCCCCCCCCCCAACGAACCCTGTAAACCAACTGTAGTTGCTATGTAGGGTTATTTGTTTCTAAGGCAACAAGCGTATATCTAAGTACTAATGGCCTGTCCTTTTGCCAGGCAACAAACAGCCTTGTGATGCAACTGCACCTGTCTGCGCTACGCGTTACTATGGAGACACTCCAGTTGCTATGGCTACCATCACGCTAATCGCCTAGCAAAGGCAGACATACAGCAGTCTTCTCAGAGAGCCCAGCTGTTCCTCCCAGCCTCTTGCTGAAGACTGATTGTCTGGGGCCTGTGATGGAATGCTTCTCAACTGAGACGCACAAGAACTCCATTAATGCCATTTGCAGGAGGGAGCGGTTTGGATTCCTCCCATGCAACATAGATCAGACTACAAAAAGAATCTGCAAGAAGGAAAACTGTAAACTTCCCCCAAATCTCTCATACTAAGCCATCCTCAATTCACATATAAACTCGTACTCCAACAATAATTTCTTCTAACTGGATAGTGACAACAGAAACATTTCTATATGTCAGATGTATCTTATGTCATATATATAATATAATATATATATATGTATGTATGTATATCCACTTAAGATTCACACACCATTCATAGTTTTTTTTTAATCTACTTATAAATTTTGGTTCTCTGTTCTATAGCCCTTTCTGAGAATCTACTGCTCTTTTTTATAAGGCAATAAGCTGTTTAGCCCTTTACCTCAATTTTACAGTTGTAAAAATGATATTCATAACCTCAGAGCCTCACAACAAATGGATGGATGCCTGAAGAGGGAAAGTCTCCATTGTTCTTTGCTGCCTTCTTTTAAAAGGAAAACACTGAGTAACCACAACAAAACCGTCTCTCAGGAGTCCGTCCACATGGAGACAGGAAGGACAACTAAGTGAGCCTCCTCTCCACATCTGGTCAGGCTCTGGGAAGGTGGGATGGCTGGCTTGACTCATCCTTGTATGTTTATCTCAGCAAAATGTGACACACAGGAGATACGAAAGCTGTCGACTTTTCTTTGTACATGTTTCTTCCACCAGGAAGATATTATTTTTACCCACCAAGAAGCCTTCTGGAAACACATTCCTCCAAAGCAGCAGAAGCGGTAAGGTTTGTGAAAACTACAACAATAGATATGCTTCCTAATAATGCATAATTTCTTTCTCCTTTATCTGCAGTTATTTTTAAAATCTCCTACAGCCTAGTAAATTAGTTTCAGTGCCTGTCTCTGCCAAAATAATGCAATTGTGAGAGAGAGAGAGAGAGAGAGAGAGAGAGAGAGAGAGAGAGAGAGAGAGAAGGGGGGAAGAGTACAAATTACTTACCTTTGATATGCCTGAGGAGTGGGGGATGGGTGGTAAGGTGTCTTTTTCAAAGCCTGAATTAGATTTTGTCTATATTCTGGGTCTATGCACCACAACGACCCTTTCCCAATACTCTGCAAAGGAAAATTAAAAGACGAAAGTATTAACACAGAAGTATTAAGTATCTTGTAGTAAGTAGACATATTGCTAGCATAATAATTGTTAAAAGCTTTCTCATTTGTTGACTGGGTACCAGACTTAAATATTTTACTACAAGAGAACACCATAAAAAACACCATAAAATACCCATCAATCTTCCCTGTATTAACTTTGACAGACAGAATGAACATATCATTAAGAGATTATACTAATACAGTATGATACTTTTCATAGCCAGATTACCTCCCCCCGCAAAAATGAGAATGCCTTATTATTTTCAGTGTCAACTTTGAAAAATACATGTATTATCTTCTAACTCTCTTTAAGTCTGTCAAATTTCAAATATTAAAAGAATAAGAGGGCTGGGACATCCTTAAAATCTGTGCTTGCCAAATGTGCTGCATCTTTAAACCACATCACTGGGCAGCATTTTATGAAAATGGGAAAGTAATCCACTTGATTTTATCCCCCCCCCAAGTTGCTCACAAAATAACAGTTATGCTTGGAATGTAATTCTGTAATTATCACCACCCCCCCACCCCCCAAAAAGGTCTCACTCAGGCAACAATGGTAATAAACCTAAACAGGAATCTAACATTTATTCTTTGAATTCCTTAGTACCTCTTCCTTCAGCCAGTAAATCTTTTAGAAGTCAAACTTGGAAATGCAAATTTTCTACACTGGCTCTCTATTGAGGGGAGAAAGAAGGGGAGGAATTTCCCTTTGGGGCAGTGGTCAGCGCATCTGAAATCTGCCTTTGAGGCCCACAGGAACTGGCAGCGGCCCTACGGGCAGTGGCTGAGAGCTTTCAAGTGACCAAATGTACCCAGACTCTTTGATAAAGTCATTAGTAAATATTCACCAATTTGGAAAGAAGGTTAAATTATCTAAATGTGTTAACATTCACCCTTTGCTTTCAGCCCCAGACCCCCACTTTTCACAAGCACTGTACTCAAGGAAGACTGGTGTTATCTTCCAACATTTAGAGCAAACAACAAACAGGAGTGGTGGGTTGGGGGGTGTTAAAGTCCATGAAAATCCCACAGAAGGAGCAGTAAACACAAATTGTTCCTAAAATCTACAGACAAGTCCCCCCCCCGCCCCACCCCAAACACTTGTTTGTGGTATGGTGGGCATAGAGGCTGATACCTGGTGCCACCCGTCACCGGGTGCATGGGGTATGAGCGTGGGGTCAGGTGGACTAAATATTAACCTGCCCAGTTTCAATCATCTGAATGTCTGAAGCCCGGAAAGATTTCCAGCTTTGGAAAATCCAGCACCCCAATGCAGCCTTGCTTTTCATGGACACATTTTCAAGTCAGCCATAGTTTGGAGGCTCTAATGAGACTGTCCAAGCAAAGCAGGCAGGCTATCCGATCATCTGCCCTGTATCTTCCATCGTTTCCTGTGGGAAAAGTTGAGCAGCAACACACAGTCTAGAAGACCCCCACACCCTCCCCGCAAAAAAAAAAAAAGGGTAAGGAGTAGGGGGAGACCAGGAATTACCAGATTTGGCGAAGGGCGCCAGTGGCTCACACCCGTAATTCTAGCTGTGCATGGGAAAGTCTGAGGGTCACCATTTGAAGCCAACCCAGACAGCAAAGTCCTTGAGACTCTTGTCTCCAATTAACCAGCAAAAAACCAGAAACTGTAGATATGACTCAAGTGATAGAATCCCAGCCAACTGAGAGGCCCTGATAGTTCAAGCCCAGGCACAAAAACAAAAACCAACCCACAAAAACAAAAACCAACCCTCAAACCCAGTCAACATGTCAGCAGGGTGGGGCTGGCGCGACTCTACCTTCCCACAGACTGAGAGCCTTTGGGAGCCCCTGGGGCCTTCTGCTCCCTGGCAAGCAAGGTCTCAGGCTATCCAGGGGTGTAGTCCCAAACATCCAAAGTGAGCTACTCAGCCTGGGAAGGTGGCTCAGTGGTAGAGTGCTTGCCTTGCATGTGTGAGGCCCTGGGTTTGACTCCTCGCAGCACCACATAAGCAGAAAAAGCTGGAAGTGGCACTGTGGCTCAAGTGGTAGAGAGCCAGCCTTGAGCTGAAGAGCTGAGGGACAGTGCCCAGGCCCAGAGTTCAGGCCCCATGACCCACCAGGGGAAAAAAAAAAAAGTGAGCTGCTCTTGGTACTGAAAAAAGCTTTTGCTTTCATCCCAATGTGTTCAAGAAGAGGCCAGTTTCTCTTACACCAAAAACCTAAGACAAAGTAATAGAAACCAAGGGGCCCTCTTAGGTAAATAATCATAAACCAAGAATGTGGTTTCTCCTAATCCTGCCCCAAGTATCTTGTTTACTCTGGTCAACTATTGTCTAAAAGCTATACAGAATAAGCCCCGGATCCATGCGGGGCAGTCACATGGCAGTAATTTCAGGTGCAGGGAGGGAGGCAACCTGAGAATTAGGAAGAAGGGGGCGGGGCGTCAGCAGGCACGCGGCTGTTCCTCTGTGGCCACGAGCAAAGCTCAGTGGCTTCCTCAGTAGTGAACTACAGAGAGACATGAGGCTAGACCTCTACAGGCAACTCAATAAATGGTAGGTGCCACTGTGCATGTCTCCCTTAAGACAGAAGAGAAATAAACCAAGACCACAGGAAGTGAGGATAAAATGGCTGCGTGTAGTCTAGTGTTAGGAGGTCTTAGCTGAGAGAAACTTTGATGGGCTTGTCTTTCTTCTAAGATCTTCTTTAATTTCGCCCTTTGCTTGGTCGGCCTTCCATGCATCCCATACCCGCAGGCAGGGGTTGGCTACTGTGAATTTTCCCTTGCTCTAGAAGCCAGAATCCCTGACGGAGGGCAATTCAGCTTCTAGAAACTTCTTTTTGGCCCCAGGTTTTAACAGTGTGATCACTGAGCTGGGTTTTTCATGTTTGGTCTGTCCATGTAGCCAAAAGTCCTCCCCAGTAATCATTCACTGGACAAACGATCTCAGGCTCTGCGTAGTGAGAAATGGTTCTACATGGAGCTGCTTTGGATTTTACAATAAGTCTGGAAGTGCTGATATTTTTACTGATCAGACTCATATTTCAATATATCTGATAGCATTGCTGACATTCCAAAGAGAGGGAAAAAAATAGACAATCCCACCCTACCAATACCAGGGCTGAGTTGTGGGGGACAGGACTGGCGGTTCACCCCCTATTTAAAGCCCTCTCTTTGGTTTCAGGTGACAGTTGAGAATAATAAAAAGGTTTGCTTGAAAAGTTTTTAAATGGGAAGGTGTAGAGGATAGAATTCTCAAGTTTCTAGGGCCAGAAAAAAAAAATTCACACCGAATATTCTCTGCAGGGATGGGGGGTTGTAATTTGATTACAGTTGTGTAGTAAGTTTGACAGTCGGAGCTCTCATAGAAATATCTGAGGCCAAGAATGTGCAGTCTTTTGTTTCCCTTTTTTTTAAATGGAAGTAACTGTGAGGACCATTCATTAAGTGTTAAAAAATTCAAAATAATAAAAGAAAACTTCACTTACAGATGCATTTTTCCTAAGACATGTGCACATTTATATCCTATGAATTTCACACTCCCAGAGAACTAACCGTGTTAGTGCAAAACATGAGTAAAGATACAATAAGGCTGTGTTATTCCAATTTTTTTAATTAAAACAAGGAATGGTAGACAACTGTTAGTTTCTTTTTAATAATACCAAAATAAAAAAATAAATAAAACAAAGCTGGGAACTGGTGGCTCCTAGCTACTCAGTAGGCTGAGATCTGAGGATCACAATTCCAAGCCATCCAGAGCAGATAAATCCGAGACACTTACCAAAAAGCAGAAGAGAAGGTGTGGCTCAAGTGGTAAAACACCAGCCATGAACAAAAAAGCTAAGAGACAGTTCCCAGGCCCTTGAAAGTTCAAGCCCCAGTTCCTCTGTGTATGTGTGTGAGTGTGTTTGTGTCTACACACACACATACACAGAGCCTGACTTATAGACAAAATGAGTGAACACGTAAAAATAAAAACACTAAATTAAAGGTAATGTAAAGATACATGTTTATTCCATAGACCTCTGGTGGTCTTGAGCCAAGGACCCCAGCTGCCCCACATTCTCTTGGCACTCACACTCCATTCCAGTATTGGGGATCCATTCCCTAGGATGAGAACTCCTGAAGCAAGCAGCACATTTACACTTTTGTCAAACTGTGGGCCCTGAAATGGGCCATGAACTCAATGTAATGAGTCCCAACTGGTATTGTTTAAACGGGACAGAAAGTATCTGTAGGAATGTGTTACACAGTTTCTATGTATACCTGCCAGCAGCAGATAATAATCGGAAAGATATATACACTTCTTGCTGCCAAGCTGAGTTCTCGATGTTTGGCAGATATTGTTCTAGGACAATGATGGCCAGGGAGCTTTGCCTTCTCATCTCTTCTTCCTTGGAGAATCAAACCAATGAGGAAAGCCCCTCTATCAAAATGCAGCCTGGAGCCAAGTATGTGTAACTTGGTCAACTTGAAATGGAATCTTCTGATGTTCCTCATAGGCCGCTTCCCAGGATGTGTCCAACAAAACTCACTGATCACTCATGTGCATTGGTTCATTCATTCATTCACATGGTACCTACTACCTGACAACCACTGTGAAGACGAGCATCATTAATAAAAACAATCCAGTCTAAAGCTTAGAGATTCCGGAAGGGGAAGAAGAGAGGAACTAGGTAAAGAAAGAAATAAACAAAATCACAACAGACGGCACCTGGCAGGGAGGAAAATACAGAGAGTGAGCAGTCAGAGGGGAGGAAGCTGCTGCTGTGCTTGGAATGAAAGGGTTGGAACAGGCCCCAGATGACCACAGGGCCTTGGCTCAGGTAAGGGCAGAGGAAGGGGAAGGAGGAGGAGAGGCTCAGGATGTATTTTAGAGAAGCAGTTGGAGCTGGCAATGGATTAGAAGTAGCAGGGACCGATGAAAGAAAGAAAAAAATCAAAGTTGGTTTGAGTATCTAACTAGGTTGAAGATTAGAGAAAGGGACAA